TTGACTGATAAGGACTGGAGAACTGCACTTCCCAGCAAACATTTTCATCAGCTGGAGGACTGCTTAGAAACACTGGGCTTTTAAAGAAAAGACCAGGTGGAGAACAGGAACCCAGAAAACAGAAATTCAGTTGTAAATGTGAAAGTCCAGTATTATTCTCATAAATGAGGAGTTTACAAACAGTAAACTAAGAAAGAAACTAAAAAATCTGCGTTCAATAGACGTTTAAATAATAATTGGATCAATAGTCATTTTAAAAAACCTGTCATCTTAATTTCAACCCTTTCTCATGTGTCTTTGTTTACTGTTTGCAGTGCTAAGGGTTGAACCTGAGGCTTTAATTATAAACTAAATAAGTGTTCTAGCATGGAAGTTTATGTCCAGACCACCAACTCCTCTTTCTTTTCTTTTCTTTTTTGAGACTAGGTCTTACTAAGTTGCTTAGGTTAGCCTTGAACTTGCTATGCTATCCAGCTGGCCTTGAATTTCTGCTCCTCCTGCCTAGTCCTCCAGAGTAGTTGGTTAAAGCAGTGGTTCTTAACTTTCCTAATGCTTCGACCCCCAATCATAAAATCATTTTCATTGCTACTTCAGAACTGCTATGAATCATTAATATGATATATGACCTCTGTGAAACGGTCGTTCAACAACCCCCCCTGCCCCCCCCCCCACACACACATGTGTCTCCACCCACAGGCTGAGAACTGCTGGTTTAAGGGTGTATTCCAGCTGGGAGGTGGAGTCGCTTGCCTTTAATTCCTCCAGCACTCGGGAAGCAGAGGCAGATGAATCTCTGTGAGTTTGAGGCTAGCCTGGTCCACAGAGCTAGTTCCAGAACAGCGAGGGCTGTTACACAGAGGAAACCCTGTCTTGAAATTTTAATAATTAATAATAACAATAAATTAAATAAAGGTGTATGTCATTATGGCCTTTACTTCTCAGTGCTTCTGTAAAAGAAACCACTTGAGAGTAAACAGAATTGTAATCTAGATTTCCAGTTTCAATTCCCACCTCGAGTCCCCACTTCTGATCTCCACTGAGTTCCTTTTTTCAGTTTAAAAAGCAAAGAAACTCCATGTTAGAATGAAATACACATGAACTAATAGCTACTATGTATCACAGAAACAGCAGGACATGCTCACGGAAACTAGGCAGGCCTTGCAGAGAACTGCCCAGGGTTCCACACTCTGTAAAATGAGAATAAATAAAAACCTCCTGGGTGTGGTACAACAGGCCTATGACCCCGAACTCCTGAGGCTGAGACAGGGGGACTATGTTCCAGGTCAGCTGAGCTACAGTGAGTTGGAGGCTGGCCTAGGCTTACACACTGAACCCTGACCGAGAAAACCAAAGCAAAACAAAAAATAACAAAAGCCCTAACAGCTGTCCCATGGGGCTGCAGCTGGGATCATCGAGTGAGATCATGCAATGCACCCACTAAGAGGAGAAAGAAAGTTATCATCATCTGTAGAGAGACACTGAAAGGCCCCATTCATGAGCACAGTTTCAAGAGAAAGAATTCAGTTTAAAGCAACGCTGGCATCCAGGACACAGCAGAAAACCCTTCTGCCCCACGGGGTCATGCTTGGGGGAGTCTCTGCTACCTTGGTCAACAGCTCAGGAGAAAAGACTCTAAACAGCCATATAACCCACATTAAGCCATTTCCCCCTCTGAAGGTTCAGAGAAATTGGAAATAAGGTCTGAAATGGCACCATGGGTGCTAAATTCCAGGTAATACAATACTGTGGTAAACGAACTAAACAGACATTAATCTGAAACTGACTCCAGTCCCCGAGTGAACTGACTGGTATAGCCCAGTGCTTACTGGTTCTGCAGAAGGAAAACAGCCAGTCTATCTCTACTGTGATCCGAGCGGATAGGAGCTAAGCTTTGAACAGTGCCTAAGCTCATTTCAGATTCGTAATACTCTAAACAATACTAAGCTAGAGCTTTGAGCTGACATGCGCACCCGAGTCACAAGCACTGACATGGGCAAATGCAGACCTGTGGCTGATCTTTCTCTATCCGTGTCTTAGTCAGATGAGCCTCCTTTTCTGCTGGGTTGCTCTCAAATAATTGCTAGCAAATAAGTAAAAACACATAGGTGTGGTAAAAGTAGGTTATTTATACTATTGAAAGAGTGTTTAGATAATTATTTGCAGTATTTAAGACCCATCCATCCAATGTTAAACTCCAAGCCTTCTCCAAACATTTCAATACTCTTCTAGTCTTTTGTTGTGTTTTTCGAGATAGGGTCTCTGTGTGGCTCTGGCTGTCCTGGAACTCACTCTGTAGTCCAGGCTGGCTTTGAACTCGGAGATCCACCTGCCTCTGCCTCCTGAGTGCTGGGATTAAAGGTGTGCGCCACCACTGCACCGTGCCATTGGTTCTTGTAAACCAAGGTTTTTTTTAAAACCAATTCCAGTGTCCGGAAGCTGAAACAAGGCGTACCTTGCTCTCATTCACCAGTTACCTGTTGTACATTTTCCCTTTGGCAGCTTGGCTCCAGACATCTTCCCCTTTTCTCCTTACTTAAAACCCTATCTATCCTGTGCTTCACCTCCTATAACTAATAAATGAGAAAGGGCCTGGAGAGGCGGCTCGGTGGTTAAGAGTACCGGCTGCTCTGGCAGAGGACCCAGGTTCAGATCCTAGCTGTCACAGGTGGCTCACAACCACCCTTAACTCCAGTTTCAGGGGATCGGTTATCCTCTTCCATCCTCTAAGGACAGCAGGCACACACACATAAGGCACAGGTATGTATGTAACCATGTAAGCAAAATTGAAATTCATACACATAAAATAAAATAAATTAAAAAAATAAATGGGACTTGAGGAAACCACCATCTAGTTCCTGCATCCTACTCATTGAGCACCAACTAGAAGCCAGATCTTTGTGTTAAGGTGGAACTTCTCACTTTGAGGAATCTGAGCTGAGGGAAACCGAATCTTCTTCACGCATTTGAAAGCATCACAGTGACACCAGGCATGTGGGAACACGCCTGTCACCCAGCACTTGGGAGGTGGAGGCATCAGGGTCAGGAATTCGAGGCCAGCCTGGGCTACACGAGACCCTATCTCAAAACAACACAACACAAAACAAAAGGACCACTTCATCAACGGGAATCAAGTATCTAAAAACAACACTTGCAGTATCAGTCCGACTGGAATTCCTAGGTAAGTGTGTTTGTAAATCCTGGAACTAGTTAAACTTCAAGTGGCTTCAGTAAGAAACGCTTGGAAAATGTCTCTGTACAGACTTGATTTCTAACTGTGGGTAGCTTCATTCTTTAAAGCACTTATTCAACATTAACTCATTCTCCAAACTTGCATCTGCTAGGCGCTGGGAGTTCCACGGGCACAGCAGCCTCCAAAGGAGTGCCCTAGTCAAAGAGATCCCAGCTTTCAGTCATGCCCCACAGCCCTCAGCCTAAGGCGCAAGCTTCCGGTCTCCTCTCCAGCCACATTGGCCTTCTTCTTTCATTTCTCAGCGCTCTCCTCCCTCCCTCCCGCCCTGACCTTTGCATAAACCCGTTCTCTTCTTCAGAGTTGAGCTCTTTGTTCTTCCTAGCGTCTCCTCGCCTCTGCGCTGCCCGGGCTCTTGCCATGCTGCCTAGAGAAGCAAGCTTGCTTCTTTCCCCTCTGGTCAAAGAGCTCTGAAACCTACTACTCCTGCGACCACATCACCGCTGCAGTTTTTATATGTCCTCTTGGGATTGGTCACTATTTCTCCGTTCTTAGATTCTTACTCTCCTGGAGAGGCAGGGTCTGACCGGTTTTGTTAGATGCCTGGCACACCGGAGGCCTTCCAGGAATGAAAAACAAACTGATGGGGCTGTCTAAAACAGTTCTGTGGGAAGCTGAGCTCAAGTGGATTCAGGGGAGGGGAAGGGGGTTGGGTTTAGGGTCCCATGTAGACCAGTCTTGCCTCCAGCTCCAAATGTATGCGGGATGACCTTGAATTCCTAATCCTCCCGTTTTCGCCTCCCAAACGCTTCGATTACATATTTGGGATTCCACACCTGATTTGAATTAGGGTTTTCTTGAATTCCGGTGATGTCAGGCCTCCTACCTTTTATCTTAGCCCTTCAATGACACTGAAATGTGGGAAGTTGTTCCAAGTGCCCAAGATTGCAAGCTTCCAAACAACAAGAATTCCATTGGTTTACTTAGAATTAAGATACACACAGAAAAGTAACAGCCATAGCCTGTATTCACGAATGCGCTCTGGAGGGTGAGCCGAGGTGGGGGATGTTACAGCACGAAAAACTGTCTATAGCACAGAGCATTTCAAAGCTACAGCTGACTCAAGAGGATGTAGTGCATCCTCATTGAGAAAGAGGAAAGGGAGGGGGGAGGGAGAGTGAGGGGGGGAGAGAGAGCGCGCTCAATGAACTTAACCTTTCTAGCCCTCCCTGGCCTCGCTAACCGCGAAGCTTCCGCAGTCCACCGGCCCCTAAAACGCAGAGCCAGCGGGTCTCATTCCCTGGCCTTTCACAAGACGCGCCCCTCCACGGCCGCTCGAGCGCTCGCCTGCTCGCCCGGCAGAGCGGGTAGAGCCCTAGACCTAGGCCGCGTGCCCCGCCCCGGGCCGGCCGAAGCCGCCCCCGCTTCTCCCCCTCCCTCTCCCCTCCCTCCGCCAGCAACGGTCCTGGCGCGCAGGCGCGATGGCGCGCGCAGTAGCGTGAGCGAGCGAACGCGCGCGCGCGGGCCCCGCTTAAATGCGGGCGAAGTGGGCGGCGCGCACCCTCGGCGTCGCTGCCCGCTCGGCACCGCCGCCTCCAACTGTCTCCGCGTGGCACGAGCCTGGAGCCGCGCTCTTTCCCCGGCGGCGGCAGCGGCGGCGGCGACGGCGGCAGGCAGGGAGTGGCTGCGAGCGGCGGCGGGCTCCATGGAGAGCGGCGGGCGCCGGAGCAGAGGCGGCGCTTCCACCGCTGCGCCCCGGCTGCAGTGACCCGCGTTGCGTCCCGCGTCCCGCCGGCCGCCCGGCCTCGCCGTCCGTGTCCGCGCCGCCGCCCGTCCCGCCGGCGCCCGAGCGCCGCGACTGTCCTCGGCCCGACTCCCCGGCGGGGTGGCGGCGGCCGGGTCCCCACGGTGGCGGCGGGAGCAGCGGCAGCAGGAGCCCGGCTCTAGGATGAAGTTCAAGCCCAACCAGACGCGGACGTACGACCGCGAGGGCTTCAAGAAGCGGGCGGCCTGCCTGTGCTTCCGCAGCGAGCAGGAGGACGAGGTGAGCGCGGGGACAAAGGCCGGCGGCGGGGCTCCGTCCCGCACCCCCCGCACCGCCCGCCGGGCCTGCGGGTCGCGGGCAGCCCGCTCGCCCGGAGCTGGAAACCCTCGGCTGGTCTCGCCAGCCTGCCGCTTAAGCGGTCCATTAGCTCGCACACAGTAGGTTTCATTACGTGTATACCTCCTTTTACGAAAACGGCCTCCGCTTTTAAAGTTTTTCTGACGACCGAAAGAAAGATGGCCAGCGAGAGATGTGGAGTGACGCCAAGAGGGACGAGATAGGCCAGAAACCGGGCAGAGTTGCCCTTTTAGGCACGATGATCTCTCGCTCTTCTGGTTTCTCAAGGCTGCTTGCTCTGTGCGGGGTGGCTTGACATCTGGGAAGGAGCGGTGTGTGACTTTACCCCTCTGCATTGGATTGATACGAGCCTTTTGGAGTATTAGTCTCTGGAAGGGCGATTTTTGTTTATTTCAGTTATATTCGTTCGATTTTTAAAACGACTTTCTTTTCAACTTGGTCTGAGCGTTTAAGTCACCTAGTAGCTTGGGGAAATCTTGTAGCATTGCCACGCCTAAAATGAGTTGATAGTGAAAAGGTTACCGCTCTGAGTTCTGCTTCCAAAACCGTGTCCTGTAAACCACCAGGCGTAAAGCTGGGGATGGGAATTTAATGGCTTCCTCGTTGCTAGCTCCTGAAGTTATGATAAGTATGGCATAGCATGCACTCTGTGGCTTAGTTGTTATATTAACAAAAACCGCGTGCTTGAAAATTATGATCTTTAAACCTCTTGGGTTTTTTTTTTTTTTGAAGAAACAAACAATTCAGGATGATTTGAAACCCGAATCCTAAAGAAATTTCCATAGAAAGGTCTTTGTGGTTCTGTTTAGGAGAGTAAGAAATAACAGGGGCTTTTTAAACGTGCACAAAGAAAGATGTCAACAGACGTTAAATGCAGTCTACTGAGGGGTGTCTTTGAAGGACGGGCCTTGCTAGGGCAAGGGAAACTAAATATAAAAACATATAATAGTGAACAGACCCAGGATCCCGTCTGACTTGTTCACCACTCCGCTCTCATATTTTTAGCTGAGCGTTTACAATGTGTTAGGTGCAGCCAGGGGAATGTTTGTTACATTTAATCCTTTTAGCGCTTGGAGGTAGTGCTGGTCAGTCCTGTTTTATAGGTGAGAAGACAATACATTTGAGCAGAAGTTCTCTGCCCAAATGACAGAACTGGGAGTCAGTAGAGTCGGAATTCAGGTTCCAGTTCCTGCTCCAGAGGCTGGCCTCTCTTCTCTGCTCCATGTTGTGAGGCTAACTTCAAAGCCTTTAAGTTACCTTTGAAATTGTGCCATAATATGCAGTTGGAAATTCAGGCCCCATTTTTCACGTGGTGTGAAAACCCTAGGGGAAGTTATGGAGATGGGCGAAATCAGAGTGGTCTAAATTGTGGGTCTGGCAGAACGGCCTTGACAACTGCTTTGTTAATGACCTGAAGCAGGTACATGGGTTGGTTGGTGTGTGCTTGGAAATTATTTCTGCTGCAAGGAAATGGTGCTAACGGAGAGTGGTGGAGAGTTTGCTTAGCACGTGGGAGCCCTGATTCAGTCCTGAGCCCCCTCCTCCCTCCCCCTCTCTCCCTCTCTCTCTCTCCCTCTCTCTCTCTTTCTCTCTCTCCAGGAAGTTGCTGTAAAATACCTGCTACAGCCTATTTTCAAAATGAGACTAGTACTTTTTTTTAAGTACAGTGAGGAGCAAGACTTAGAGTATGCTTGACTCCATTATGTAAAACTCTGACTCTTAGAACCTGTAGGCTGGGAAACCTAGTGGTCATCTTGTTAGGGGATCTGCTCTGGGGAGAGACTGGAATTCTCCAGAACACACAGCCAACTTTGAACATCTGGGTTAGCTCCTCGGGATTGTATTCCTCTGGTTGTGTATACTTGAGGCTCTTTCTATGTGATAATTACAGAATGGACTCTTAGCAAAACAGGAAGATGTGCTTTTCCTATTGAAATGATATTACTACCGGTCCAGGGTTAGACGACAAAGTGCTTGAGCCCACCTCTAACTAAAGGGTAAGAAATGCTTCCCTACTGGGTTAAGAACTTGTAGGTCCTGGTTAGGACATTGAAGTGTATGTTTTAAAGATGAGAGTAACTTCAAATAAAAAGAGTAATTACTGTTTGACCCTAAAAGGCTACAGAGAGCTCCCTTTGGCTCTACTGAGTGCAGGGATTACAGGCATGAGCCTTGATGCCTGGTTAGAACAGGTTCTTCTGAGAGTAGAGTCCCTTGCTTTTGGGGATGGGGTGGTTTTAAGTGTCTCCCCATACCCTTTTTCTCCGTTTTGTTGGTTTCCTCTTTTCTTTTCCTGCCATAAGAGGTAACAGCATGGGAAGAAGGTGGCGACACCTTGGCATGGTGTTGGGATACGCCAGGAATCCCAGCATTTAGGAGGCTTGCCTGGGTTAAATAGTAAGACCCTGTCTGGGGGTGGGAGGGAATAGAGCCAGGCATAGTGGTACTTGCCTTAAATACAGCACATGGGAGGCAGAGGGGGACGGGTCTCTGAGCTAAAGGCTAGCCTGGTCTACATAGTGAGACCCTGTCTCAAAAGGAACGCACACCAAATTTAGGTTGCAGAAGGGATTTGTCCCAGGGTCACAGAGTAAGCAGGACTTTTTGAGTTCAGGTCTGTTTGTAGATGCTCATCTGAGCAGGCTCTCTGGCTACCTGCTTCTGTGGAGAAGCATCCCCTTCAGTGTGACTTCTAGACATCCAGAGAGTGGCTAGGGCACTGCCTGTAGATGGCAGTAGTGTTCTGAGTTGGTAGCCAGAAATAAATTCTGTTGAGCATATTTGCATATATATTTGGACAGTGGATGTAACGATGACGTTTTAGCTGGTAAGGAACATATTCTGTAGCGGAAGGTTAGGTGAAGCAGATGATGAAATACGGTGCCCCAATGTGCTTCTGTGTGCTTTGCGTTTGGAACCCAGTGTGTCATCTGGAATTGGATTTCGGTAAATGGGAAAGGAGGGGTCAAGCATCCCAAATAGAGGTTGACTTGGGGCTGTGGTCTGAAAGGGTGGCTTGGGATGGCAGAGAAAAAACCACAGTGGTGAAATGCTTGCCTACCAAGCACAAAGCCTGGGGGGCCGAGGCGGGCACCGGATAGCACCTCACATGTAAGCCTAACAGCCTGCTAGGCAAGAAAGGAACTCTTAGTTTTAAACAAGTTCATTTTGGTTCTAGACTGGGTGGGGGGTGATAGCAAAATGGGACATAGACTACTGCTAAAGGGAGAGTTTGCTGGGTTGAATCCAGGTAGTTTCAAGGAGGTGTAGCATATGAGTGTGGCTCTAATTGTGTAACCTCCCGGAGTTAGGGACCGCTGCTTTTCTCCATACAGATGGTCAGCTAAAGAGCTCGGTCCAGTGGGGAAATCCGAATCCAGCAACATCAAAACATGGGACTGAATCCAGAACTATAAAGATCATCCTAATCGGGAATACTAGTGTGATAAAAAAACCCTGGCATTCTTTACACTAGGATCAGTTGTCATTCACCCGGCAGAAGTCACCCTTTTCTATAGGTACTGGTATACTTAACCAAAAGATTTAAAGTCATCAAAAAGACGATTTTGTCAGCATTAAATACTCAAAGACAGCCCTTATTTATTTGTTTTTCTTGCAGTAAGTATCCTTCTCCCCCTGTGTGACTGAACATTTGAACTCAGCCTATATGTGCTAGGCAAATACTCTACCACTGAGCAGCTCCCCCTGACCTAAAAGAGGACTTCTAAGGTCATGAAACCCATTGCTTTCTTCAAGGGAGAGCACTTGTTAGCATTTGTATCTGTTTGTCTTAGGGTGATCCTAGGATTGTTCTGTAGCTGATGGGCTAAGCTTTCCTTCTTTGGTGTCAGCCATGGCTTCTGTGGAAAAATTAATTGAAAGCTTACTTGCCTGTATGTATCAATTAGCACATTGACCGTATCGTACACCTAGTAGGTGCCTGTTTGCTTAGTTAAATACTACTACTTTGTGATAGCTTTCTCTGGAGTCTTGGTGTTGATGCAGGGAGCTTAGTGTTAGCTGCCCCATTCTGAAGTCTAAGAAAGTGTTGTTTGCTGTTGTGACTTCACCTCTCCAAATCCCCTCCCCCAAAAGACCCTAAATTATGTTGATGATTTTAGATTCTGCATGTAGAGAGGATATTCATAGTCTAGTTTGCCCACCAACTTGTGGTTGAAAACAAAGGTATAATGAAGCAGAGAAGGTGAATTTATACCGTGAAAACAATCTCTGTGCAGTGCCAAAAATTCACATGAAAACAGTTTCAGTTGTCCACTCTTCTCAACTTGTTTATCGATTTCCACTTGAAAACTTAAAATTTATTTGCATGTGTGAATGGGTGGGATGGGAGGGGATGCTGTGGAGGTCAGGACAACTTGTGGGGTTCCATTCTTTCCTTCCTGCTACCATGTAGGTCCTGGGCATTGAACTCAGGGAGTCAGTCCTGTCAGCAAATAACCTTACCCGCTGAGCCGGTCTCGCTGACCAATCTGAACTGTTGGGTTTGTTTGTTCCTTTGGGTTTTGGGGAGTGACGTTTTTGTTTTATTTATTTTTTGTTTATCTGTTTTAGATTTGTTAGCAATCTCCCTCTGTAGCCCAGGCTGGCCTTGAATTTGGCAGTCATCCTGCCTCAGTTGCTGAGATTATAGGCATAAACCACTGTGTCTGGCTTGTTTTAAAGTTGGGGGTTATAGCTCAGTGGTTGATACTTACCTAGCATGTATAGACCCAGCACTGAGAAGGAGATTTGTGGAAGACTTTTCATCTGTGTAATCTAGAGATGGTTCGTATTGAAGTCTACTTAATTATATCAGATCTTTCTCCTGGTTCATTTTTATTGTCGTGGTTTTCATGTCTGCACTAGGGAGGCTGAGGCAGAAGATAAGTTGATAAGTTCAAGGCCAGCTTGCTCTACATAGG